TACTTTTTAAAATATTTTTAATAAATAAACTTATTTTAAGAGGTTTTATGATTTATTTCAAATTAAATTAATATTTTGTAAAAAATTTAAATAGAGACATGGTTTTTGAGGGCTTTGAAAAGAAAAAATTATATTACTTCAATTACAAGGAAGTTAATAGAATAGAGATATATATACATTTTTAAATTTTATATTAGACCAAAATAAATTTGATATATGATATTTTTATTTTCGCTATTTAAATATAAAGAGAATGAAAGAGCTTCAATCTATAGTAAATAAGATAGACTTTGATAATATAAGTTAAATTGCATTGTAATTTGCATATGAAGGATTCATATAAGACAAATAAAAAAGGGCCTTTTTTCTAAGTGGTGTAGCAATACATGCTATCAAGTTGTTAAAGATTGTCTATCTTAATATATGTAGATTTGTAAAGACCACAAGTATGGAAGGAGCAAGGTATTTTTTTACTTTTATTGATGATTTTTTAAGAATTATTTGGATTTACATTCTTAAAGCTAAAAATAAATACTTTTAAGAATTTAAGGATTTTAAAGTTTTTTTTTGAGAAAGAAAGTATCATGGACATACATATTTACTATGATATTTATCTATATTATTAAGTAGAAATGAAAGTAGATTTATTTCATAACATTTTCTAGAGAAGCTTCTTAGAAGCTTTATAAATACTGCTTTCACTTTTCTTATATTGGTAATTGATTAATAGGATAGAAATTTGGTCAATAAGTTGATGACATGTTGATAGCTTGCAAAACAAGCTAAGTATGTGGTGTACATATAGAAAAATTATCTTGTAAGTTAAGATATGTATCTTGTAAAATCAACACATTTTGGTGATCCTATATGATATCACCATATAGCTCCTAATTAAGGGTATATATGGAGGCAAAAGTGAAGCCTTCTTCATTCTTGTCAATATTTTTCTATTCTTTAGTCTTGTTTCAAGACTTTCTAGTCTTTTTGTCTTTGGAAATAACCATTTTAGTTTAATACAATATCATCTTTTAGTGGTTTTCCAAGTCTTTTTGAATGTTAGAAGAGTATATTGACATTTTAATTCTTTGAGGTTCATGTCCTTGACAGAAAGTAAGTCCAAGGTCAAAATGATGTGTATATATAATAAAAATAAGTATATGTCTAATTTATTTAATATTTATTTAAACAATAATAATAATAAAATTTCTAAATAAACTATAATTAAATATAATTTATAAAAATAAATTATTACTAAAAGAAATATTTCTACCATTGTAGAAATTACAAAAAACATGCTTTATTCTTAAAATCTTTGTTATAAGTTTTGAGATGAAGTTGTTGTTATTGTTGTTTATGCAAAGAAGAAGTATCAAATAAGTATTTTTGCATCAATTAAAATAGAATAAACTTGAATTGGGAGAAAAATTTACATTTTATATATAAAGATTTTTGAATGCATTGCATAAGCATAGGTATGAAATTGCATGAGTTTCAAACTTGATGTAATAGGTACAAAATGCATATTCTTGAATTATTTTGAAGATATATAGGCTAATATATTTGGATAGCAAAAATATCATCAAAATTTATGATGTTAAATTTTTGGAGGACAAGAATATTTGTAAGTATTTAGAAATATATCTAAGTAGAGATCAAATTATATTTGTAGACACGTTTTTTAAAGAAGATTGAAATAAATAAATAAAAATAATGATATTACATTAAAAAACCTAACAATTTTAAAGACAAAGCTTTATCAATCTAAAAACTAGCAATGAAGATTCAAAAATAAAAAAAGATGAAGTATATGAAGATTAGTTTTTAATTGAAAAGAAGTACCTCTAAAGAAAAAAGAAGCTTGTAAGAAACAATGGTATTTAATAAGACCAACTTTCATCTAACAAAAAAAATTATCCCATGAAAGAAAGAATATCATTTGATAAATGGTGGAAGAACCATATTTTATTTTAAATAAATAAAGAACATACAAATATTAATATTTTTATAAAAAAAAATTATGATATTATAAATTTTTAAGATACAATCAAGTATAAGAAGGCTATAGAAAAAGAATGTCAATATCTTTTAGAGAATGGTATATAAAAATTTGTTCTTTATCCAAAAAAATATATTTTAATATTACTTGTATATAGATGTTTAGAATCAAAAGAGATGCAATAGGTGTGGTGGTAAGGCACAAGAAAAGATTAATTTCGAAAGTGTACTTACAAGTTACTAGTATTGATTTCAATAAGATTTTTGCACCATTTTACCAAATTCACCACCATTAGGACTATTATGGCAATTAAACATAAATAGATTTGAAAATATATCAATTAAATATAAAGACGGCCTTCTTGAATACAAAATTATAAGAAGACATCTATGTAGACCAACTTTAAGGATTTGTACAATAAGACAAATAAAACCATGTATGTAAGTAAGTTTAAGAAATCCTTATATGGGTTCAAATAATCACCAAGACTACAATACCAATGTATTGATATATTCTTTGTTAATGAAAGATTTAAGAAAAGTAAGGCTAATCATTTCTTATATGTGATGCAATTTTTTAAAAAATCATTGGTTGTAATCCTCTATATTGATGATTTGATCATCTTAGATAATACATAAAAAAGATGGATTAGATGAAAGCCATATTCAAGAAAATATATATGAATGATTTGGAAGAGTTGCACTATTGCCTTACTATTGAATTTGTGATAAATCATAGTAGTTTTATCATTACAATGAGCCAAAGCAATCAAATAAAAGAAGTACTAAAATTATTCAATATGAAAGAGTGCAAGTCAATTCGAACATCTCTTGAAGCAAATTCAAAGTTGATGAAGCTCACAAATGAGAAGGTTGTACAAAGTGAAGATAAAATACAAATGTTCTATATAAGGCAATAGTAGGCTCACTTATATATGCATTGGTAGCCATAAAAATGGATCTTCTATTTGATGTAAGTATTGTGAGCCAACACATATCTATAGTTGGACCTTCATATTGAAAAAAAAAAAAACTTAGATGATTATGGGATACTTAAAAGGCACAAAAGACTTCAAATTATGCTTTGGAAGAAAGAATATTAATTTATAAAATTATTGTAGTATAGATTGGATTAGTCATGCAAATGATAAAAGATCCATAACATGTTTTTTTTCTTTTTTTGCTTTTTTTTTTTGAAGAGCAAGCTATCTTATAGAATTTTAAGAAAAAACCAACCATTGGAAGATCAACTATGAAGATTAAGTACATTGCACCAAGCCAATTTTCAATAGAAGCAATTCGAGTGAAATAACTCTTTGAAGACATTAGACTTGTGTAATTAGAAATAACTCCAATAATATGTAACATTCAAGGATATCTTGCATTTGCTAATAATCCAAAGCATTATTGAAGAACCAAACATATGCATGTTCAATATCATTTCATATAAGAGAAGATTAAAAATGGTATAATAGGTATGAAGTATTGTGCTACAAAAGACATACTTATAAAAGTATTAGTAAAGAATAGATACCTCAAGTTGATAAAGATATTAAAATCAAAATCCTTTTAACAAGTAGCATAGTAGGAATCTTAAGGATTAGCAAACTTAGGATTAGTTACTACAATTTAGAATTTAACCTTAATAAGTTATTAATGGTCAAAAGGTAGCAAAGACTTAAGACAAGTTATTAGGATAGTAACTAGGATTTTGGATGGTAGCTACGTAAAAAAGAATTTAGGATTTGATTGAATAAAACAAAATAGGATGAAGCTTGTGTGCAATTCTTAAACCCTAAACCTTACATGTAGGTCTTATGCGACGTACTGCTACCCAAGGTCTAAAAAATAAGTTATCACGTATGCGTTATGCTTTCTTGCACACATTACATTTGTGGCTACAGTCTAGAATTCAGACCTTGCTTTTTTAAGGAGGGCAGACAATGTTTTGGACAACCAGCAAGATGCTCCAGATGAACATCCATAGATGTCCATCAGGGGAGGATATCCCTTTGCCCTTTACAAGAGAATTCCTGCCCCACCAGTTTATCACAGGCTCACTCCACACAATTCCGACCCCGCTTCATGCTCCGAAGTTTTGAGGAAACATTTCTGATCTAGGCACAGCTGGGAGCCTTCCTACTAACCCAGTTGTGCCCTAATTCAGAACAAAAAAGATCCCAGAAATGTGAATCCTAATAGGGGCAACATATCACTATGCACACTTGTATTATCTGAACACACAGACGCGGCTGACATCGAAAGAGAGTCCTTGCTTCACATGCAAATCGGTTTCACAACTAGAACGGATTTACAATACAACAGACAATCCATTTCTGAGCCATTCTTAAGGACCGGAGCAGTCGTAGCCAACGAAGAGAAAATGGCTGTGAAGTTGCACCTTGTCACAACATTCGTATTGAAGTTATCTTCAGGATATTACCACAATGTATGTGATTGGGCAGGAGGTTCTAAATTACTTCGGAGTTCTAAATTACGGAATGACATGTACACTAAACCCGGAGGATTGATACTGGTAAAAGCAAACTCCAATGCAATGAACCATGATAAGTGAACACGTTGATGTGGGCAGGACACATGCAAGAGTGATAAAGTGGGGGGGGAGAATGCTCACAAAGCAGCATTCTATAGAAATTGTAATATCAAGCAAGAGATGCTGATCTTCAATTATGACGCTCAATGAACTATGTCGCATCACTGATGGTAACCTAATAATAATAATAATAATAACCTTAACCCAGGAAAGTCGTGCCGGTACCTACATTGTGCAAGAGAATTGCTCTGTTTCTATCAAAACCATGTGTACCTTCGACTTAGACCACATCGGCCCTAAGAAGGCTGAGTATACGACTAAAAGAAGCTAGAACTCTTGACCTAAGTTTGTGCGCGACCTTCAACTTAAGTCTGAAGCCCCAAGAAATAGTTGTCTTCGACAAATTAAGAAAGGGGAGAAAGAACAAACCAAACTGAATTGAGGGTTTCCATTACTGCCCAACCACGTTAATCTTCACCTGCGCTATCACCTCCGGGTGCAACCTTATCTCCACCGAGTACTGCCCAATCTCTCGCACCTCCGGAACCGTCACGTCCCTCTTATCCACCTCCTGCTTCGTGTTCGCCCTAATGATGTCCACAATGTCCTGCGACGTTACCGACCCAAATATCTGCTTCCCTTGTCCTCCCCTCTTCCTCCGCAGCGTCAAAATCCCCGCATTCTGCAGCACCCTCGCCACACTCTCCGCTTCCGCCTTCACGGCCTTCCTCTCCTCCTCCTTCCGCACCTCCTCCAACCGTATGGCCTTCAAAATCTCCGGAGTCGCCAGCTTCGCCTTCCCGGTGGGATACAGAAAATTGCGAAAGTAGCCGGTCTTCACAGCAAGAAGAGCTCCAGACTTGCCGAGATACTCCACATCCTCGGTGAGGATAACCTGTCGCCGCTTCTGCACTCGCTTGTCAGCCACCACCGAGAGGGGTTGGTGCGTTGGGCTGGCACTGGTGGTGGGTGCCGAGGAGGCAGGCTTCTGGCAGGAACTCTGAGCTCGCAAGCCTTCGAAGGAGGGCAAGAGAGCGGACGACGCCATGGTGTTCGCCATCGCCGTTGCCGGCGTTCCAAGATTGCTGAAAACGCTAACAATGAGTCAGAATTCGCTTCCACAGACGTCCCCACCTCTTCAGCTCCTGAGAGTATAGCAGCAGTGTGTCCTCATTTCACGACCCTTCCAAAGCTTTGGATAAGGCAATGGTTCTCAGCTGCAAAATGTGGACAGAAACCGAAAGATAACTGATGATGTGGAACGAGTTGCTCGTCACCCGTTTCGCTCAAGAATAACACCGCGAATAGAGAGCTTTTCGCTTAAAGTTAGGTAATCAAACAAAAGTTATTGATCACGTGACAATGAAAATGAAGGAAACAGTTGCGCTGAAGGTGGACGAGGAGTTCCCTCCTGACATGCTTCAGTTCTTTGAAAGTGTTTGAAAGTCTCAGAACTGCTTGTTATCTCGCTATTCATGGAATAATTGCGTGCAATGGTGGATTACCTGCACTCTAATTTCTAACCACGCACAGCTCCCATCGACATTCATTCAATTTGACCAACTTCAGCCTCTGAGTCAACACTAAGAATTTTGAAGTGCCAACTTTTATGACTCACAGACTATTTCTCATTCCTGTGGCAGAACTCAGTACGTTGTGGATTTCACAGGTATTGAACATCCATAGAAATGGTCTGGAAGTTAGTGATAGGCTTGGTGTGAAGAACTACATTGAAAGTGGCCATCCATAAAGCTATACAATCGTCACAGTCCTCGGTGTAAAATGACATTGCAGCAGAAATTAGTTGACCAAACGGACTCAGGGTTTCCCGGCTCAACTGCAAGCCATCAAACCTTAACTCGAATCAAGATCTATTTATCATACCGCTTCTGAATTAAACTACTTGTTGTCTTCAGTAGAATTTGGCGGATCTCATTAATCGGTAGGCACGTTACACCACTAACCTCGGCCAGAATATGCCAGAAATGCAATGCTGAGACTGAAAACATTTTCGGAACGTGTCCCTCAAACAAGTTGAAATATGAATCGAGGTAAAAACAATACCACTATCAGCACGTCAGCAAAGTGGCGATTTCTAAATGTCATTTCAGCGAAGGCACTTCGAACATGAAGGAACCCTCAGTTCATGAGTCATAGATACACCAATGTGCAGTCAAACCAAGTATCCGAGAATCCTAATCCAAAGTAACCCAAATCTTGAACAATCAAGCAATTCGTGTCGTATAGAATAGACACGGTATACACGAAGTTTTGAGAGAAGCTAACTCGCTGCAACAACTGCACTCTGATGTTGGCAAATGAGTGAGGTGCGCACTTAAAGCTTTCTCAGGACCAATTGACGCACGCTCTTCGAAATCCATTTGCCGTGAGACACATCTAACACCATTTTGTGACTTGAAAAAGAAAAAGACTCACAGACACATTAACAGAATCAACATGTCGGGTATCAAGTGGAATGCCAATTTAATAGCAGAAGACTACTGCTTCAACACAAGCTGAGCACAACACATTATTCAAATCAACAAAACATCAATGACAAATCATGCATGACCTAAAATTGACTTTTGAAGTCTCATGAAGCCCAAGGGAACTATGATGAATTCCAGACAAGAATTGAAAAATCGGTACTAGAACAAAACGAGCGTTGGCCTTGATATCTGAGTTGATAAAAGTTACAAGAAATAATATCCTGAGCTACAGGTTGTGGAAACCCCATAATCAGCCTGAAGAGCTCCTGCTGTAACATGCAGGCTAAAGCAAAGAAGAAGAAGCAGCGAGGGAGGAATGTAACCAAATTGAATTCAGGATTCGCATTACTGCCCAACCACGTTAATCTTCACCTGCGCTATCACCTCCGGGTGCAACCTTATCTCCACCGAGTACTGCCCAATCTCTCGCACCTCCGGAACCGTCACGTCCCTCTTATCCACCTCCTGCTTCGTGTTCGCCCTAATGATGTCCACAATGTCCTGCGACGTTACCGACCCAAATATCTGCTTCCCTTGTCCTCCCCTCTTCCTCCGCAGCGTCAAAATCCCCGCATTCTGCAGCACCCTCGCCACACTCTCCGCTTCCGCCTTCACGGCCTTCCTCTCCTCCTCCTTCCGCACCTCCTCCAACCGTATGGCCTTCAAAATCTCCGGAGTCGCCAGCTTCGCCTTCCCGGTGGGATACAGAAAATTGCGAAAGTAGCCGGTCTTCACAGCAAGAAGAGCTCCAGACTTGCCGAGATACTCCACATCCTCGGTGAGGATAACCTGTCGCCGCTTCTGCACTCGCTTGTCAGCCACCACCGAGAGGGGTTGGTGCGTTGGGCTGGCGCTGGTGGTGGGTGCCGAGGAGGCAGGCTTCTGGCAGGAACTCTGAGCTCGCAAGCCTTCGAAGGAGGGCAAGAGAGCAGGCGACGCCACGGTATTCGCCATCGTCACAGCCAGTGTTCCAAAATCGCTAGGAAATTCCCAGATCCTGAAGCTCCTGCTCTTCACGCACGCCCCTGCAAGCGATCCTCTCTGCCTGCTGCGGACTCTCCATGGCAAGCACTCCAGATAAGGCGACAGTTCCATTTGGAACCGTTGGATGATAGTTCTCTAACGTCGTCGCTTATCCAGAATAGATGAATGAGGAACTCGGGATCCTACGATCCGCGAGACTTCCCTGGAAAGCTTGGAGAAGTTAGGAGGCAGAGCCATCAGCTTCCTTTAAAAATAACCCACCATTACCTTATGTGTACAATTAGTATGAACCTCATAGAAAAGCAATAAATTCCTGCATTCTGAATCCATGTCGGAATCGAATTTTCCAACAAACATTAAATTGTATCAAAAATCAAAACGAAGACTACTAGTTAGTAAATGTTTTGGGTACGCCTTTGCATATAGTGTTTCTTTTGACATAATTATGTCAACCCTTCTTGTGGAATTGTGGCATTGTAGAAGAAAAAAAATTACTTTTTGGATCATACATTGAATCAATATTGTCATTAGTTAGTTCAATTCATATCATTTTAAGAGAAGAATCTTATTTTTTATTTAGAAAATTCAAAGCATTTGGAATGAGATTTGAAGCAATCTTAAAAAAAATTGATAGAGATATCACTGCAAAAACAGAATTAAAGAATGTAAAACAAAGAATACTTCCTATATTAGTATGTGCTATGAAATACTAACAACTTGCAAACAATATCGATTCAAATAGTATATATATATATATATATATATATATAAGAGATATACTAATTATTAGTGATTATATATATATATATATATATATGTAGTATTTTTTTCAAATAATGCAAAATAATTATTTTATATGCCAAACATCATTACTTTGGATGAATTTAATTTACAAGACATTGTATGCAATAATTATTTATACAAAATGAAAAAAATGAAATAGAATGGTGTATGTCAAATTAATACATCAAGAAAGTCTAGAATTATAAATGACCTCATACAAAGTCAATATGACCTAATGCAAATTGATGCAAATTGATGCAACTAAGGCTTAAATTGCATACATACAAAGGAGAACCACAAGCAATAACGAAACGACTTTAAAGATGTGTCTGAAAATAATTATAGACATGTTAACGAAATATTGACCGTGTGATTTCATAATAGAAATTGGAATTGAGAATAAAAACTTAATTTGGATCAATCTAAAAAAATTCAAGAAATTTGTATAGTTGTAAAAAACTATATTAAAAAACATTTTATTTATTAGATCATTTGATATTTTAGATCACTAGAAGAAAAAACTTGTTTTGGTTGTTAAAGGAAAAATGATGAAATACTAGATAGCATGCATAAATTGCTAAAGGTAACAGAATATCCATAAAGAATTATTATCTCTCATTATTAAAATAACACTATATGAATGGTTTAGGCAAATGAAGATAAGTATATATATAAAAAATAAAAATAAAAAATAAAAAAAATGCTAAAGATGGATTTAAAATCTTGTTGTAATTAATTAATTTTATAACACAAATTCCATAAAAGATAACATTTATAAAAAATATGGATATTTCAATTATGGTGTTATGTCATTTGATTTTTAAACTGTAAGTTGAATCCTTTAATATATAATATATGATATTTTTAAGAACACATAAATAATTTTGTGATTTTCCATTTAAATAAAATCTGAATTTTTTGAGACGACAAAAGATTATTAATTCTGTGTACATTTTGTTCTGAAAAAACCACAAGAATAGTTACAAACAAACAAAAATAAAACAAAATAAAATTAATTGATTATATTTTTTTGTATTATTGATTATCTTTTTGGATTATAACAATCAAGCTAAAAAATAATTCCTAAAAATCAATGAAACATGATTTAAAAAGTAAAAAATAAAACTAGTACATATATATATATATATATATATTAAATCTATGATGTGAACAAATATATATATATATATATATATATATATATCTTTGTACCCCCCCCCCCCCGTTTATTATTTTTACTCATAAACATCTACATCTGCAATACTATAAAACAATAAACACCTGTACAACATTCAACAATTTACTTCATTAAATGCAACATAATTACAAAAGTTAATATTGTCTTATTGTAATGCTTACATATTCTTGTAGCATCCAATTGGTTTTGAAAAATAATAATAATAATACTTGGAATATATTTTTCTGTAAAATGTTTTTGAATTTTTAAAAAAAATCTTGTATATAAGGATGTACAAATTTTTTTCTTCAGAGTAAAAAAAATTAACACTTTATATGCAAACATCACTTGAATAGTTAAATTAGGATAATACTATAAAAATATAAAATTATAGTGATTTATTTTATTGTATTATGTAAGTCTATATGCCAATATAATTTATGTAGTATATACAATATACAAAATCCACAATAATCTACTTGTGCTACAATTTTGTTTTAATATCTATATATTAAAATTTCTAAAAAAATAATATGAATAAAAAGAATTAAATAAGTTTAAAATAAAATATGTAATATGCATTTGATATTATTTTTAGAAAATCAATTCCAATTTTCATTATTTTTTTTAATTAAATTTTGATAGTTTTACAAAGAGAAAGAACTTAATTATAGTTTGTTTATTGTAACTTTTTCAGTGCAAATAGTTATTTAATTTTTAATTTTTAAAAAAGATTCCATTATAATAATTTTCTTGTTTTTTTTTTGTTTTTTACCTCATATTAGGAATAGATGAAGAAAATATTAATATAAAAACATATGTTTTTGGTAATATGTGCCAACTATTTTTTATTAATAAAAAAATAAAATTATTTAAAATAAAAATAAAATAATTCATAAAAAAAACTAGTTTAAAAAATACCTATAAATGTTATAACTTAATATATATATATATATATATATATAAATTGTGATATGAAATTGATTTATATGAGTTTAAAGTAAATTTAAGTAATAAAATAAAATGAAATAAGTGAATGTTTAAACTTTATCACTTTTTTATTAAAGTTTTAAAAATAATACACTTTTATAATTTATACATATACACATACAAAAAGAAACCTTGTATAATTTATATATCTTAATTAATATTTCTTGCTTAGTTAATAATATTTTTTATAATAAAGGTTTTTCTTAGGTTATGAACTTATAATCTTGCTTTGTGCTTAATTATTAAAAAAATTAAAGATATAATTTTATAATTTATGTATTGATTTCTTATCTAATAAATAAGCAAATGTAGGTTCAACAAGAATAGAGATCATTTGTTCATGCATTTATAATTTAGGATAGATGAATATAGGTCCAACAAGAAATATTCTATTTTAATTAGATGGATTGACAACTTTGATACATCTAGAAGTGGATGTGTATTTTGATCTTGGAAACCTAATCCTAATTGTATCCATATTTAAATTCTTTGGAAGCAAAGTATCAAATCCAATCTGATCTCATCTTGTAAATTGCATTATTCAAGATAAGACACACAATAGTGGAGCATCAAGCCATATGGACTTGGGTTCCAATTAGTTTGCTTGCAACCTTCAAGTGACAATATTTTCAAACAAGCAAAAGATATGATGTTGCTATCTAATCCTTGCAGAAATCTTTATTTGAGAGGGTTAGTTCTTCCAACATCACACAACACTTGCCAATATTTGAGATGCCCTAGTAACTTCCTTTACAACCACTAAGTTCTATTGTGACCAGCCATTAGAAAATGTGGTTTTTGATAGTAAGGCCAACATCCATGAATATGCATTGATTAAATCCTATAATAGATCCAATCAATCTCACTATTTGCACATTATTACAAAGTCCTATAACTCTTAGAGCCTCCTCCATACTTTGGTACAAATCAAGTTCATTCAAAAGCTAACATTTCTTTGCTATACTTGCAATTCTTGACTCTTTTGTGTTTCTCTTCAAATTTCATACTTCTGACTTGGCAATTTCAAATGGACTATTTATAGTCTTAGTTAAGATTCCTTCATCATTTTTTAAACACTTACAAGCATTTGATAAAGCTTCTCCAAGTCTGTCCTTAGTATGTCTTTGATGTAATATTTAACTATCAATCATATTACTTGAAAATTATAAAACTTCATAATCTAATTTATATTATAAAATCTCACATAATTTATAAAAATATTACCTACCAAAATTATATATTGATTAAGATATCTTCATGTGTATATAACTTTTTATGTAGGAAAAATATATCTTGCATATATTGTAACTGTTTACAAATAACATTGTATTTTAGAAAGTGACATTTAGAAAATCCTACCATTTGAACTATTATGAAATGTCCAAATGTTACAAGTTGCCTTAGTTGTCATTATTATTGTACATTTTTTATGTATACAATAATATTTGTTTATTTATAGATATATATCAAAATCATATATTTCTGTTTTAAAATATGTATTTAAAAAAATAAAAATTATTATAAAAATTATTTTTTATTATATAAATATAAAAAATATATATATGTATTTAATACTTGCTTAAAAAACCAACATCATTTATGTTGTTGCCACAAATTATCAGTACTTATTGATGATTATAATGTCACTATTTATAATTATTTTTGCTACTTGCCATTGATGCAATTGATAATGTCATTGATTGATATTCACTATAATAATGAATTACAATAAATTTCAATACAAAAAATATAGCCAAAAATAAAATAAATATATATTTTTTGGACATGAAAAAAATATCAATATACAAAAATAGAAACATACACATTTAAGAAAATTTTAAAAAGATATTGTAAAAAATAATAAAGTAACATTTAATTGTGTTATTAAAATCTGAAAATAAAACTATTTTAAATGATTTAGTTAACAAAAATATGTCTATATTAAAGTTTAATAAAAAATTCAATTTGTTATATTCAGAAGAAAAAAATTGATATAAAAAATTAATATAATACATCAATAATTTGTTTCAACATATTACATCCAAAGCAAAACAAAGTGAAATAAAGCTAATATATGCATATATATATATATATATATATATGAATGTTAAATAGACCTATATTTTTATTAAATAGACCACCCTTGATGAAGAATATGATTATTATGATGATTGTGGTTGATTTTTATTGGTTGCAAGTCTAATAATGGAGAAATAAATCCAAAAATCATTATTATTTTTCATGCTAGTTAGGATGGGTGAGTTGATTTAGTAAAACATTGGATTTATTTAGCATTCCCTTAAACATAAATAAACATTTATATATATATATATTTATTTATTTACTGATATACATGTCAACTTTTAATCTCATACGTGTATTATAACATTGATTTTCAACACTCCTCTACGTCCCCCTAAACTATTGTTGAACATTTTGTGCAGAGAACCCATCAGAAACTTCCTAGAAGCGTCTTCTTCAGGAGACATGCAACAACGTCCTACTTTCCTTTGGATGCCGTCAGATCAGACCTCCATCCAACGACAAATCTAGTCTCTATCACTCACCGTTCGATCATGAGTCTTAATCCGACGGTTGAACAGCTGGACCTGGTATTGGCCTTAGGGCTGGAGTTGGCATTCGCTGAATCTCTTTGAACCCTCCCGCTTCGACCTACTGACTTTCCAATCCCTTGTTGCAGCGATGGTGAGCTCCCCTCTCTCCCTTTCGCCACCATGTTTTGAATCCCTGCTCGTATTCTTGCCCTCGTTCTCGTTTTTTTTTCTCGTTTTTACGGTATCCGATTTGGGTAACTGACGTGTTTCCTTCAGAGTTTTAGGTTTGGAATTAGAAATTAGTGTGTGATGGTTGACGCATTTCTCCGAGTGTATACAGTGTGCTTGCTCCGTGAATCGTCTTGGTTGAGTCAGTTAGGATCGTAATTGAGTTGGTGGTTTAGGGTTTAAGTGGGCTTGGGTTCGATGGGTTTTGGGCCTAGATTGCGTGTGCTCCACAAGCGAAAAGTGTTCAAATAATGCGTTTGAGTTTTTATTTTTCTCCTTCTTTTTTGAGCTTGTTCACGAGCTGTGATCGATGAAGCAGCATGTCGCGTCGCGTTCCTGTCGGTACACGTAGACGAGAGTTTTGATGCAGTTACAGTTCCCTTAAGTGAATTCGCATTGTCGTAGGTGCTGAGGCTTTATTCTGTTTCGGCGTGTAGGGTATAGATTTGAAGGCCGGGGGTCGCAACAAGAAGACCAAGCGTACAGCGCCCAAGAGCGACAATGTGTACCTGAAGCTTCTTGTGAAGGTACTCCCCAAGAAGCATTGCTTGTTTTAATAGTTGTCTATCCGAATTTACTCTTCGAAACCTGAGTTTCAATTAGGGTTTTCTCGTGGATTGTTTGACTACACTATTGGGCAGTCAAGTTATTTTTTCTTTTAGTTACTTTCATTTCTTTTTTGTTGAATGGTGTGATTATTTTTCGCAGCTGTATCGGTTCCTGGTCAGGAGAACCGATGCCCCTTTCAATTCAGTTGTCTTGAAGCGCTTGTTTATGAGCCGTATCAACCGACCTCCCATTTCTATGTCTCGTCTTGTGAAGTACATGACCGGCAAGGTATGATGTGAATTTGATTCTAAAAGTTTCTTTCGGATTTTACGAGACTTAGTATGCATGTTACCTACTTCCTTCACAGGGCAGTGCGCAGGTTTCTGCAGCAGGACTTCCAAGATGTAAGCTTTGTTATTTTGATCAATCTCTTAGAAGTATTTGCTCCACGTTAGTAACCTTTGGATTTACGTGTTTAACGTGCGTTGTTCGAATTTGCAGGAAGGAAAAATTGCTGTTATCGTGGGTACTGTCACTGACGACACTAGAATCTACGAAGTTCCAGCTTTGAAGGTGGCTGCTCTTCGATTTACCGAAACAGCTCGTGCTCGTATCTTGAAGAGCGGAGGGGAGGTTTTGACTTTCGACCAGCTTGCCCTGAGAGCTCCGACTGGATCCAATTGCGTAAGCTTACTTGCTGAAATTCTACGAGTGTTAGTCAATCTATTCCTTTTCTTATTAGCAGTCCCAGTTAGGCCAAGTGTTCGGTCGGTGAGCAAGGCGAGAACAAATAGGTCTTAGATACATTTTTGTTGATTCTTAGTAGTAGTTTGTTGCCACCTGCTCCGATTAATGCAAGGCTTTCTAGTCTGACCCTGCGTGGTGATCATCTGTGTCATCTTGTACCACTAAGATTTTTGTCCTCTGATTTATTATTAGGTTCATATCATTCCGGAGTGTATATGATTTGTTTAACGAGCTCTAGTGCCTTCTGTATGGTCATCGGAGTAGTAATCACACTTTTTCTACTGTGAAGGTATTGCTGAGGGGACCTAAGAATGCTCGTGAAGCCGTGAAGCACTTCGGGGCACCTGGTGTACCACAAAGTCATGCCAAGCCCTATGTGCGATCCAAAGGACGCAAGTTTGAGAAGGCTCGTGGGCGCCGTAACAGCAGAGGTTTTAAGGTTTAGGCATGGTTCTCTCACTGTTTGGATAAGATATTTCTACACATGCTCGTGTACGCTGAGTTTATAATGATCCCATTACCTCCAACTGCACGACTCCGTGTCCTCAACTGACTGTTTCCGGTGTTTATCTGCGATGGTGAATACACAGTTTATAATCCTTGGCACTGGTCATTGTTTGTTTTACTCCTACATGATTATCAACTAAATTGACACACAACATGCAAACTTAGTGAGCTCTGATGCTATTATCAAAAAAGGATATGTTTTTTAGAGCAGCTTTGTTAGCAAATTTAATTTACTGGTAATTATACCTATTTTACAATCATATGACATGTTTTTGGTGGGCTATCATCTGTTATTGATTGTTTGCAATGCGGTCATTTTACACCTATAATCCTCTCACGAAAATAATTCTATGTTGCTTGTATCTTGAAATTTGTACTCGGATGTCAATAATTAAAGAAAGAACTCGTACTCATGCCTCCAGCTCCATGTAGTTGGGAATGACTTGCATCTCAGTGGACACTAATTTTGAAAACAAAAAGTCTTAAATTTGAATAGGAAGGAGGGATTAAACATAAAAATGGGTAGTTGTGTGAATTTGCGTTGCATTACCAGTTTGTAAGGTAATAATAATTATTTTATTCCTATTTCTTTGTCTTTCTTTTTCCCTTCCTTTCAGAAAATGGACATGGAAAATGTGGTGAAGTGGCTAATGACGTTGAACAAATTGAAATTTGTTTCCAATAAAATGTTTGTTACTCTAAATTTTTATTTAGTCATTTATTCAAAAAGTTAAAAACGTGTAAACAATAGGTCCAAGGAAAAACAATACCATTCTCTGCATGGTATGACTTTTAAGCTTTATTTGTTTTGGCACTTACATCCATTGCAACAAAAAGAATTCACTTGTATTTTACTACCTGTTTTGATAATTCAAATATTTGATTGAATATGCAAACACACTCCAAAACACAAACAAAAATACCAACAGAACTACAACAACAATGCCCAACCAGTCATATCTATAACCCAAATATAGATGAATAAATTCTTCAATAGTGATGTTTTTTCCATATCCAGGTGCATCAATTGTAGAAGTCATGTTCCCTAACTGAGAACTTATGAGACCATAAAGAGTCCATGCAACTGGGCATAACCAATAATACCAACTCCACCATGCAGGCATTGATGCTTTGGGTATCAAAAAACCTGCAAAAAGATTCCACAAAGAGTAAAATCCAGAAGAAGTCACAGCTGCTAATTGTTGGGAGGGGGTTAATCCTACAGCCATCATGCCATAGAATGTGAAATATGTGAATGTCAAAAACATGTAAAAGAAGTACCAAAAAAACTTTGAGGCTGTCCATTCAAAATGGATCATACTGTATGTGACAACTGCATAAAGAATAGTTTGAACAAATATGTAGGGAATTTCAATAAGTCCTTGACCAAGAGCATAAGGAATTGGCCCATACATGCCAGCAGCTCGTTCCCTATAAAAAACTGTTCTCTCTACTGATACAACTGGTTGAACACTTGAAGAATTGTTCACACCCAAGAACAATACAGATGCATAAAGCACACCCATCACATTTTGAACATCTTGTTGTTTTTGGTGTTGAAGGCCTCGTTTCCAAAAAATAGACCCAAACATCAATGCAATAATGAATGTAAAGAAAAAACGGACTGCATTGTAATATGGACTCCTCCAATATGTGATGTTTTGTTTCCAAAGACAAGCCATAAATTGCTGTTTGAAAGATTGAGAATATTTGGTATCAAACCATAGATCTTTAGTCCCTGGTTTTGTCTTGCTCAACTCTTCAACCATGGCCTTGTTTTTTTGGTGCATTTCAGATTGGAGAAAAAATGTGGTGAAATCCACATCCAACTTTTTTTCCATAGCAGGGGTTGTAACCTCCAACATCCATGTTGCAGGATTGTAACCATCAGCAATGGGGGGCACTCCTGGAATAGACGAAAAGTATTGGATCAAATCACTTGAATATTTTCCAAGGGGACCAATGTAAATGAGCTTTCCGCCTCTTTTCAGGAGTATAAGCTCATCAAATGCTTCAAAGATGTCTATGCTCGGTTGGTGGATGGTGCATACAACAGTGCGCCCTGTGTTGACTGTGTTACTAACTGTTCTCATCACTATGGCTGCAGCTCGAGCATCAAGTCCTGAGGTTGGTTCATCCATGAATATGATAGATGGGTTGGCCACAAGCTCCACTGCTATGGTGAGGCGTTTCCTTTGTTCCGTTGAAAGGCCTGAAATGCCTGGAAGCCCTACTAATGCATGTTTTATGTTATGAAGCTCTACTAGTTTCATGATTTGCTCAACAAAAGAATGTCGTGTTTCTGGTGAAATATCTGATGGCAATCGTAACCATGATGAGTATATCAGTGATTCATATACAGTAACCTGCAAAATATAAATAAAATGTCATATATATATATATATATAAAAATCAAAGATGCATGATTTTATAAAATCATTTCAACATAGTATTCTTGAAATACTATTATGGAAAAGAATTTTTTTAGATGTCTCCAAGAGATTTCATATATATATATATATATATATATATTCTTTTATTGATTACTGGAATTGTGCATTTATATCCTGAAAATATTTAAGGACAGTATTGGTTAAGAATAGCATACTTGTGGTGAATGGATATCTGTTTGTTCAACATAACCTGAAACTCTTGCAAAAGTTTCTTGAACTTTAACAAAGCCACCTACTTTCACCACTCCTTCCATAGTACCTCCTGTTTTGCGTCCAGCAAGAACATCCATTAATGTGGTTTTCCCAGCTCCACTGACACCCATTAATGCTGTTAAAACACCAGGTTGTAAGGCTCCACTTATGTTGTGGAGCAATTGTAGCTTTGATGATTTCATTCCTCTGGCAACCATTTCCAGTGGCATGTCTACAAAATATGACATGTCATCAAAAGTTATTGCCAAAGGTTGAAATGGAAGAACCATGCCAACTGACTCCTCAGAATTTTGGTGGTTATCAACCTGGATGCTACTTGTGTTGTTTGTCATTCCAATGCGTGTTTCAAACTGCTCGTTTAAAGAATTTTCCTGTGTAATTATATGTTGCCGAGTTAAAGGTTGCAAGTACTTCAATGCCAACACCAACGTCACATTAAACAAAATGGTGTACACAAACAAAGCTGCTGCTCCTATGGAATACCAATACTTTTGGGGATACATCCCTCTAGACTTGAGGATGGCCACCCACAAAGGTGTGTCTGCATTGGGACTCTTGATGTCCCATCGGATAGCGCGGAACTCATTAACAGCTATTGCGTTTTGAGCATAAGACAAAGGAGTCAACCAGTAACCCCATATCCATCCTCTTGGAACATTATCCTTGGACAAAACAAACCCTCCAAGCACCAAAAACACCAACAATGCAAAGGACCCAAAGGTGTTGGAAATGACCATTTCCCTCCCTAAAGCTCCAATAGTACGAAACAACCCAATGCCCATTTGGTGCATGAGGAAGAGTAGCAAGAAATACCGGAAGAAATGCTTAGCCTCTGGTGCAAGGCCAATGGAATAGTAGCAAATACTGGACCAGATGAGAGCTTCGGCAAAAGAGTAAGGGATGCGCATGAGCCAGCCAGGGATGCTGAACGCCCACGCCGGATAAAACATGTTGTCTCGTTGCTTGTAGAACACGGGGAGGCGCCACACGGTGAGCGTCATCTCGGTGAAAGCATTGAACATCATGTGGATCAGCGCGAAGAAGAGCGAGCTCATGTACAGGAATCCGTTTTGCTCGTCGATGGGGTGGATCCGCGTTCGGATGAAGAGCGTGGAGCAGATGAAGGAGAGCAACACTACTTGGCACGTTCGGAACACATACAGGAACTTGTTGCGCTTTATCAGTAGCCATTCCCTGTCCACGCATGCTTTGAAGATGTTCCAGCTGGAGAGTGCGTAGGGTGTCGTGATGAGAGCTTGAGGGTGTGACAAGGTTTTATCGAAGGGTTGTGACAGGTATTGCCCTTGTTCCTGACCGATTTTCGATCTTTTGAATGCAATCGCGAGTTCTTCCACCGATACGTAGCGGTAAGGACCCATGTCCTGTGACCAGTATTGGCCTTGGTCTTTTCTGGAGGTGACTTCTTGCAGGAAGTCGGCGATCCCTTTGCGGTCCGGGAGCAGGAACCCTTGCGACTCGAAAAACTCGACGCTATGTTCTCGAGGACCCATGTATACAATCCGGCCTTCTGCGAGGAGGATAATGTCATCGAAGAGTTCGAAGGTCTCTGGTGCTGGTTGTAAGAGTGCCATTAGCACTGTCCCCTGTAAGAGATGAACGAATTCTCGCGTTGATTTGACGATTTGGAACGTCGTGGAGCTGTCCAGTCCCGTGGATATCTCGTCCATGAATAACGTTTTTTTGGGCCCGACCACCATTTCTCCCGTTGTGACGCGTTTCTTTTGGCCACCGGAGATTCCTCGGAGCATGTCGCTGCCGACAACAACGTCTGCACAAACTTCAAGTCCCAGAACTTTGATGATGTAGTCCGTCGACAAGCTGTGTTCCTTGCCTTTGATTGCCGTTCCTTTCATAAATGCGTCAATGTGAGGATCTGGTTGAATTCCCAAGTGCTTCTCTCTCCGCTCCAGTTCTTCTAATAAAGTGAACCTTGAACCAACTCCTTGGCACCTTGCAGCAAAATCCAACGTTTCTCTAACTGTCAACTCTCCAATGTGGTCATCATTTTGGCCCACGTAGGCTGCAGTTCGTTGCGGAATGAAGTCCGTGAGTGGATGTCCATTATATGTAATCAATCCCTGTGTAGTCAAATCCTTGTGCAATTTTCCAGCCAACGCTAGTAGAAGAGTTGTTTTTCCACCTCCTAATGTGATGTGAAATATTGGAACTCATCTTATAAAAATTTACCAGACATTTCTGGAATCAATTTTTTTAAAAGTGTATATTATGATTTTATGAACAAAAACCTAAAACCAGCAATGATTAAACTTCATATTGAAGGTAGTGCACATGATGGTTACCAGGTGGTCCCAAAAGCAAAGTCATTCTCCCTGGTTTTAAGACACCACTCACTTCTCGTAATATGGTAAAAGGACGCTTGATAGGCGGAAGTATTCCACATGAAGCTAACACATCTTCAAACAAGTCTCGCGTGAAATTGATTAAAGAAGGAAGAGCTCTGTCTCCGACGTAAACCTCTGCATTGACAGTCAAATGGTCGAAGCGAACTTCGACAGTGGGCAACACAATGCCCACTTTATCAATCCTGTCCCTGATGTTTTGCAGTAGGAGTTCTGTGTCGTGTTGGCTTGTCGCCAGGGCATTATCCAAAATCTGTTGCCGATCATCTTGGCCCTCCAGAAGCTTCTCCAAGGAGGCCCACTCAATAGCCTTCCGTTTCTCAAGCTTATCAGAAGGTACATCATTCCAGATCCTCGACCCTCCGTGGCCGTGCGAAAACCAACTACTGTCGTAGGTGGATGGAGTTGCCATTCGAACCCTAGTTCAGATCCTTCGCTTCCTCATCAATTTCCTGTAGAGTTACAGGTGCTTGTTCGATTGCAAGCATGACCCAGCATTTTTCCGACTTCGGTATAACTCTCACTCACACCCCGAGATGGAATTCCTGAAGGGTGGACGTCAATGTCCGTGGAATACCCAGTTATCGGAACTCTTCACGTAACACTTATCCTCACATTAAGTTCTCAATATCCTTTGAGATTATTGCCGATGATGTCTTGATAAATCTGCCATGAGTTGGGTTTGAATCCGAAGTTTACAGGGACATCTTCTGGTCGCAGCTGCGACATGGGAGGCATTGTCAGACAGCATCAGAAATCATTTTTTGGGCAGAATATTTAACGCGCTTATAATTGCCCACTTACATCTGCATGAATGGGGCTGCTTGTGCAAGAGAAGGTGCCATGGTTTTGAAGAGCTTACTTCTAGGTTTGTGATCCACTCGGTGTGAAGGATCAACCCTGATCACGATCCACTCTGTTCCGGGAAATTTTTGTGGGGACAGAGACTAAATGTGGGGAGGGGGGGTTGTTTACATCTCTTCCACATCTGTGAAAGGAGTTTGAGTCTGTGAGGTGGGATTGCAAGGAATATGAACCAGAGGATCAGAACGCTAGAGCGCTTCAGATCTTGGAGAGTACTGTTCTGTAGCTGTGGATAGTTACAGTGAAAAGCTCTAAGTTGGCCTTTCTCCAGAATGGCTGGGCCGTCAAAAAGAGAGGATGCTAGTGGTGTGTGATTTATAGCATTTAAACCCCGGCAGCGCATTCACGGCTTAGCCTGACGTCTCGCAACACGTGACGGACAAGCGAGGGAAGAGTGTCGGAGAAAGTACTTTAATTGAGTGGGTCACGAAGATTGTGAGTGGTGATTACTTGCGATACACTCAGCGAATGGGACGCCCATTACAGGTTTGTTTTCTCGTATGCGCTTTGATTGGAGCTCTTCTCATAGTGAGACATCCAGGGTTTTGCCAAGAGGTGGTTTGATAACCTCGTACTTTCTTAAAATGCCTTATAAATTATTGATTGTGAAGGAAACTAGACAGACGCTACTGCTGCGCTACATTCGTAGTAATTCGACTTCCTTGAGCACATGACCTTGCATTTCTTTGCTTATTAGCCTCCCATAATTCTCAACGACTCGCGACTAGAAATCGAAACATGGAGCAAGAAGTGAACTTCTCCTGGGAAAGAATATCAGTGCTTTGACCTTTTTGTGCACTGGGACTGGCTACGAAGTTCATGTCAGGCAATGAGGTAAGAACTAATTTGAGCAGTCACGATTTCCACGATGGATGTTTCTGCACTCGGAAAGAAATGGTTGCTAACTGAAAAATCGATAGACACGGGGGGCATTCGCTGAGTGTATCTGAAGACAGGTTTCAATCTTTCCTTCTATTCAGCTCTGCCATTGCCAATCACTCCTCTAAAGGAATTTGAACTTTCACATTCTCATCGACGGGGTTCATGAGAGTAATTCGCACTAATTCGTAGCCTTCAGCGTCAATCCATATGACTGCCAGATTTAGAGGATTAGAGCAAGTCAGAACCAAGCACCGTCATGGATGCACGATCGGCGTACATTTATTCAATGATTCAGATACACGAACTAACCAAACTGAAGCCAGATCGCTGTGTTGCTTTGCTAGCTGTGGTTCGAAATACGAATACGTGATCGTTGTCAATGCCGGCACCAGTGCTCGAAACAAGTAGGATTAAATCTGTAAAACGGCACACCTGGTATTGCTCCCAGCGGAGGGCAGGGGAGTAGAGATCTCGTGTCAGTGACACTGCGGTGGCGCATCTAAAATTGAACGACACCTTGGTTTGAAGGTGAGCTTGCAGCGCTGCCAAGTGCTGCTGTATTGCGATTCCTCTTCCATAAGATCCACAACTTTCCTTCCTCCTATCACCGCTGTAATTGGATTCGGCCGGCAATCCAAATCTTGTTCCAAAATGCCAGCCGAACACTCTCCGCTGAACAGCACCATGAGATCAGCAAGATTGTGTCTATACTGAGGTTCTGGGCTTGCAGAGTGTGTCCAAGAACTTTTTTATTTCTGAAATATTCGTCAATTGTACACCTGAATTGCAACTCGTTTTGTACATGGGAATTTCCTCACACGCTTCTGTAGACGGTTTTCAATGTCCGGGGCATTGTGTTGGTACAACATCGATTGTAATTACATTACCAAGCACCTACTTCTTCACTAATCTCCAGACATTTCAATCACTTCACTTAGCACTTCAACTTCCATGAAGTATTATTACCCCCATATTTTTACTAATGCATTCATTGTTCAAAAAAACAAATTAGAAATATGTTATTGGCCCTCATTCGACCCTGCACCAATCCACACAAAATCGTCGTTGCTAAGAAATCATTCCTAGCGACATGAAAAATTCTATTTCTCAGCTTCTGGATGTTAGATGTTGCGACGTAGTTCAGAAGAAAGGCAAGCAACCACAGGAACCACGAACTTGAAACAGCATGTAAAAACAACCGAGTAGAATTCATAGTTGCATCCCAAACCCAAGGGCGACAGTTGGAATCTAGAGCGTCGTAGACATATGGATGAATAGCAAACGCTTGTGAAGATTGGAATTACAACGAACAAGTGGCAGAAGTGGGTTAGTCAGAGCCCGTCACTATTCTCATTATAGATAACCTTCTAAAGCGAACTACATGATTTGGAACGCAGAATGCTCAGATACACACCACCAGTGGTACTTGGAGCCTGATCAATCTGACGCGGAAAGCCGAGCAGAAAACGAAACGATATGGGGAGACTAGGACGAATGTGGCCCAATTCGGAGTCTAATTGAAATCACAATCGACTTCTGCTTGGCTATGATTCAGACCTGTGTCTCTTCTACCACGCAACAGTATTGACACAGAATAATCTGCAGCACGATTTAGCGGATGCAATTAGATCAGTTTCACGCTGCCAATCAAAAATTGACAATGTTCAGCGGTAGCCTTTACGGCAAAACAACAGAGGCCAATCACATACTGATCACAGAGAAACTGCTTGTAGGAAGTGCTTGCTCGCGCTACGGTTAGCATTGTTTAGACACTTCTCCACTGAAATCCTAAAACTCAATCCTCTTCCACCACTGATCACAGTCTTCATTCTCACAACCTAAAAATCAGCAAATGACCACGTTAGAGCGAGCAGAGTGTGCCCCCAAGGCCTGCAAGAAGGCACCACAGATAGAAGACAACTACTAACTGAAACCACTGGTGGAGGTTATTAGGGCCTAAAGCACTTTGAGCATGAGGTGGTTTGCCGAGAGTCTCATCACGATTGACTCATTCATGCGGGCGCCCACATTATTCATGTACAGAGCCCGAGCGCACGCCACCAGCGGAAAGAACACCAAAACGACCATGTCCAATCATGACCCAAAAGCAAAGCAGAACTGATGAATCAGACGGTCCAATTCAGCGCCGAGGTGGGGGGGGGGGGTAGCACAATGTTTACTCCCGCTTGGTTATGATGCAGATCTTCGTCTGTTATACCACGCAAGAATATCCCGCAGATGAAGAATCTGCATCATATCTTAGCGAAGGCAAAAGAGCATTCTCTCTCTCGCATGCTGTCATCGAAAATCAATTTCCTCCGCGACCAGCAGGTGTAGCAGCTACAATCAAATAGTGGGGTTGGAGTTATCCATGCCCAGAACTGATAAACCACTATACAAAGGCCTCGCTCCGGGGCTACATTCGGCAATGTTCAGGCACGCTGCCGCCGATCTCCCAGCTACTGACTCCCTCGCCACCGCCACCGCCAACACCACCGATCACGCTGCCAGATTCACCGTCTACACGGGAAATTGACTGAGCGAGGGGAGATCTCGGAAGATTAGGAGCTCAAGAATTGCACTGTGTCTTTGACGGCAGCGGAGGGGTATATACAGCAGCTGGGAATTGGAGGCTGCGGATGACGAGGCGCGGCGATGGAAAGGCACCGAAAGCGGCGCGTGTGCGCGAGATGGATACCGACGTAGTTGCCCTCTGCTTGAACTCGGTCTAAGGGTCCCGTGGTGTTGGGATCAGTCGGTTTCAGCGTCGTCGCAGCGGCAACGGGTCGTAAGCGGCGACAGGAGATCCTTTCGGTGCACTAGAAACTCATGACCTTCTTGAACAGAAAAAAAAAGAAGATAATACTATGATTGAAAGTTGGATCTGATCTAAAAGGAAAAAGGGTAGAGGAAATAATGAAATGGGTGCAAAATCAAAAAAAAGCTGTTCATTTTTAAATGGAAAAAGATGAAGCAACCATTATTGTTTGGTGGAAATATTAAGATTTGATTTTTGGTTAGTCATTCTATTATACTTAGAGGAATGGCAAGTCAATAATTTCTGATAATTTGTGATATAGAGTATGGTTTTTATCTTAATTTATATCTAGTAATGTATTTTAGAAAATGGTCATGTATCACTAGATTCAAATTAACAATAGGAATTAAAATTAAAGTTATTAAAGCATTCAAGATGTAAGAATTGAAGTTTTTTGTATTGTTATGAAAAAAAGAATATGGATTCAACTCATCTATTTGAGAAATTAGTTTGAAATCGGTTCTCTACAAAATGAGTTAAATTCACTGAGAAATTGAATATAAACTTTCTGTGTGATTCTAGAGCTTCAAGTTACTAAATCCATGTTCTATCTTTGAAATCATGCAATTTTTTCATCATCATAAAAAGCTTCAGATTTTGCCAAAAACAGTAACCCCGTTTAAGACAAAAATTTTCTATGAGTGAATTTAGAAAGGGTCATCTGGTCCAAAGCTCAGTATATTTCTTTTAAAAAATTTCATGATTTTTTACTGTGAGATTCCAACTCGTATGTATATATTATTGAATTTGGTTTGAAGTTTAGCAAAATTTATTCTTCTCAATTAAGAAGAAAAATCAAAATAAAAAATGAAACTTTTAATTTACTTGATTTGAAGGGATTAAAGGAAATTCTAATCAGAGAAGTGTATTAAATAGTCTTCATCTATATATATATATATATATATATATAGGTAGATACATACAATATAAATGATTTAAAAGTAAAATTTGTTTGCTAGGCTTCATATTTGTTTATAAGAAAAATAAAAAAAAGCTGACTTAAACAAGCATAATTGTATATCAATATGTTTGTATGGAAAGAAACTTTTGGTGCTTTTCTTATTCATACACCTAATTTCTTTTTCATTACGGTTTTTGTGCTCAATACACCAAATTTTGAATAGCAAGCTTTATCCCAACAGGCTCCCATGAAGACAAAAATAAAAAATAAAAAATAAAAACACAAATGAAAGTTAACCTCTAATAGTTTGTGATATGTGTTAGTTTTGCTCAACTCTTCATATATACGAAGGAGATAGGGTCATGAATTGAATGGCTGTGGGGTGAAGGAAGGGCCAAGGTTCGGCCAGCAGCTAAGGCTTCAGCCTGATCACAGGCTTTACACGCAGCTATCATCTAGTTTAATGCACTGAAAAGTTCGATAGAGCTGCAGGACGAGCGAAACGAAACCTCAGCCCAAAGA